AGGAAGTAGCAAGAGTGGCCATTTTTCACTCTCTCAGAATTGAGGTCTTCAAAGAATGGGGAGAGGAGGAGACTAAAACAAAGCAAGGACCTTCTAAAATGGGTTGGCACCTGGTTTTCCCCATCTGTTGAAGAACAAGAAATAAAAATGTCCGAAACTATTAACAAGAACTGGGTTACAAGTAAAGCATCTTTCTAAACTCCTTAGAATTCATTTAAATTTTAATAGCTCAAAGTAAGGATTGAGATTCAGACATTGGTTATACCTACTCCATGTCTGGAGTAACTGAGTAATTGCTATTTCTTGATCAATCAAGAAAGTCCACAACCAAGAAAGCCCAGATGATTATTTCCTCTTAAACCAAATATTGAACTGATCACGTGCCCAAGACCCTTCTCCTTAATTTTTCCTTTAAATGCATGTTTGGAACTTCTAGAGCAGACCAGGCCTTTTGTCTTTGTCTGCCCCCTCTCCTTGCTTTGTATATGACAATAAAGTGACACTTTCCTTCACTGCACCCATCCCTACACTTTGGTTCATGGTGTTTAAGAGGGCAAACTTGGTTTGAGTTCAGTAACAATGTTTGCCTAACTAATTTTTCATACTGATTTAGTGTTTTTCATCTTTAGATCGGTTTGCAATTAATCTTTGCAACCTACCAAAAGGGTTGATAACTTTATTTCCATTTTGTAAATATGAAGTATGAGATATAGAGGAATTAATACACTTTTTTCTGGCCACAGTTAAAAAGAACTACAACATGAATTAGAAACTCTTGGCTCCCAACACCACTTTTAATCCATTAGTACTAGATTATTGCCATTTTCTTATAAAATAATCCCCTTCATAATATTACATATTTCATCATTTATATGAAAATTATGTAATACAAATTTATTTCTAAGAATAAATATGGATCTGATGTTAATTACTCTCTTTAGAATCTTATTGTTTTCTAAAATGTTGATTGGGTAAGTGTAGTTCTTTCTTTGTGATTCCGTTTAAGTCTGTGTCATTTTCTTTACTTGTAAATATTGGAAGTTATTTTCATCCTCAGACATGTAAGTTATAAATGATTATATAATGAAACTGTGAGTTTCCATGAAATATAACCCTTATAAAACACAGAGAATTATTTTGATTTTGAAAAGTTGTTTGTATATATGTGTGCACTGTTTTTTAAATATCACAAATTTTGAGTGCACGAAGATTTATTTACATTAGTCCACAGGAAGTATATATTTTCTTGTGACAGCATGCTACTGGTTGTAACATTTGAAGGCTAACCCAGTGGATTTTTGAACACACGCTGTCTTGGCAAATGCGCAGGAATCATAATCCAACTTGAACGCCCCACCTTTGTTCCTCTGTAGATTTAACCATGTCAGTTAGTGATAACGACAATGCCCATTGTCTATATAATGCTGAAATTACTAAAGGACAAGGATGGATATGGATGCACTACTGAATTACCTCTCCTTTCATCAGTCCTAAATTTACTCAGAAGCAGTAGACCAGAGGAAGGTAGGTGCTATGATTTCAATGTTTGTTCCTTCAAAACTCACGTGTAAACATAATTGTTGTAATAATGATGTTGATAAGTGGGGCCTTTAAGATATGGTTAGGCTATGAAAGCTAAATCCTCATGAATCGATTAATGGCATTTTCAAAGAAGAGAGTTTCTTCTAAATTATAAATTTGGCCCCTTTTTGCCCCTCTCTCCCTCTTTGCCCTTCCATCATGGGATTACGTGGCAAGAGAGCCCTCACCAGATGCTGGCCCTTTTTCTTGGACTTCTCAACCTCTGGTACCATAAGCCAGTAAGTTTTTATTTATTATAAATTACTGATTCTGTGGTATATTGTTATAGAAGCACAAAATCAACTAAGAATGTAGGATTCCAATTCTCTTCTTGTCCTATATTTTTTAAAAGGAAACCGAAGTTTCTTTATGATGTTCTTTTGCTTTTAGTAAGTTATGGAAATGTAAGATGTTCTTTCTTATTGTAAATATACCATTTGAAATTATATACAATTTTTACATTAAAATGTGTTAATGCTCTCTTTGTGATTATTTTCAATAGTGTTAGTGTAATGCAATCTTCAAAAAGTTCATGAGAAATGTGAATTATAAAAAAAAAAATCTATACTTGGGACCAGCAGTTGGTATAATGGCTATGTCACTGGATTCCCATGTCGTCGACCATGGTTCAAGTCTTGAACCCAGTGGCTTAACTCATGCTGGGTATGTGTGCATGCATGGCCAAAATCTCAAGAGGAGAATGGAGGAGAAGGGATTGTGGCATGGCCATCCTCCCTGGGGGGGTGATTTTTCTCTTTCTGTCTCTCTCTGTCTTTCTGGTGAGTGCATGTACCCTATAGCAAAAAGCTCTCCAAAAAAGAAAAAAAAAATCTATACAAGAATTTCAATACTTTTCATGCCAAAATAACATTTTACTTTAATTCCTTTTTCCACACTTTTTGAAGTTCCCCTTATATCAGGATTATCTATGTGGTTTACTGTGATATTGATAATCGACATGTAATAGTGAGAAATTAAGGGGGGACACCATTAGGAGTGAAATAGAGAAAAGGTATAGAAAATCTCTAATTTGGGAAAATATAATAAGTGAGAACCATTTAAATGACAAAGTGTAATTTAAGGCTAATAATGGATTTATCAACCAAGTTTGTCCTTAGATTCTTATGAAATAATATAGTTTAGCCAAATGTAAGGAAAACATTGAATTCATAAGTTATTTCCATTTATCCCTTCAATCATTCTTTCCATATCATAGTGACTTATAAGTTTAAACTTACTGACAAAGGATGAGTATTAGACACATAGTTATTCAGTTTTACAATTTCTTCCCCACTAATAGTTAAAAACAATATTATGGCAACCAAATTGAAAGGTGAAGAAGTCATTACTTCTTACTGCATTTTAAAACTCCCAGAATATAGTTCATATCAGAGATGAACATCTACTATCTTTTACTTTGATCTATCATAAACTAATTATGAAATTATAGTAAATTAGAAAGGATGCAAAGACACAATAGGCATGAGGTCAGGCCAAAGAAAATTTTAAAATAAAGCAATACAGTAAAACAACATGCTCAATATATACATATCTATGGAATACATATATATAGGTACTTCTTTAAGAAGTTCCAAGTAGGACCTACTTTCTCATAGTACTTGATCTCGTAGTCCAGAATGGCTCCATTGGAAAAGGCTGGTGCTTGCCAGGAGAGGGCAATGCTATTTTGGGATGCCCAGTCTTTCCTTACCATACCTATCAGTGAAGGTGCTGAAAGGAAAGAGAATAACTAAGAATTAATTGGCAGGAATCTTTTTCAGTAATCTGTTCTTTAGTAATTTCTCTTCAAAGAACAGGATTCTTGTTGAAGAGAACATCAATTGTTGATGTGAGATTAGTAAAATAGCCTTGGGGTTTATTCAATCTAAATAAGGTATTAAATGTATTTAGAAACACTATTAGGAAACATAGGAAAAAGAGCTATTCTAAGAATAAGGGCCAAATCCATCATCTTTTTTCTTATTAGAAGGTATTTTTCTTTAAACTGTCTTGAACTTGAGATATAACATGAAATATAATACACTTGGCTTCTGTATTTTATAGATCTGAGTCTGCTACAGAAAAACAAATTATGCAATTACAGCATCAATTATAGGCTCTCCTTTTTCCTCAAGACATCTTAGGACTTTATGAGATTTTGTATCATAAATTTCATAGTTAGAATAATTTGATGCTTATCAATGTGAAGATTCTTCTTTTTGTTCAGTTTCTGAGACATGTGAATAAAATTGAAACATTTAACTTCAGAAGTTTATTTTCAGAATCTTCTAATTTTCTTAAATAACATTATTGTACAATAATGTTAAGTTTTTCTAGTCTTTTTTTTTTTTTGTCTTAATGCAGTCATGTTCACAAGAGAGAGAGAAGAAAAGTGAGAAAGCACATCCCAGGGGAATGGCCACCCTGCAATCCTTTCTCTTCATTCTCTGCTCAAGATTTTGGGCACACATGCACACACACCTGTAGTGGTTTCCAAGCTGCAAGGTCTGGGACTTAAACTGTACAGTCAGCCATATAGGATCCAGCCACCTTAACCTCCATGTCACTGGCTGGCTCCATTTTAATTTTTTTTCCCCATGTTGAACTTTTAATAGTTAATGAGAATGTATCTAGCAGAGATTTTATTTGTACCTTTTATAAAACACTTTTCATTTTCATGTAGTTTAATTTTTTAAAACAGCAATGCTTGAAATGGAAGTTAAACTTCACTCATATATTGGGGGACCAGCAGTTAGCGTAATGGCTATGTTGCTGGACTCCCACGTAGTCGACCGTGGTTCGCATCCCGGACCCGGTGGCTTAAAACTCACGCTGGGCGTGTGTGCGTGTGTGCCCAAGATCCTGAGAGGAGAATGGAGGAGAAGGGATTGCGGCGTGGCTATCCCCCCTGGGGGGTGATTTCTCGCTTTCTGTCTCTCTGTCTCTCTCTGTCTGGCGAGCGCACGCGCCCTATGGCAGAAACCTCTCCAAAAAAAGAAAAAAAAAACCTTCACTCATATAAAGGGAAATCCAAGTAAAATTACACTGAAATACAATTTCTCACTTACCAGATTGGAAAGAAATCCAGAAATCAGAGAACACACTACATTGGCTAGGTTGTGGGGGAAAGCACTTTTAACACATTTTTGGTGAGAATACCAAATGGCACAACTCTTATTAAGGGAAACTCAACAATTTAAGGAAAATTAGGAAATCATTTATGCTTTGGGTGTTTGGAATATATCCCAGAGATACACTGCACAAACACAAAATGACATATTTACAAGACTACTCAGTAGAATTTATGTCTAAAGATTGGAATCATCTAAATGTAAAAAGGAATAATGGCAATCTATAAATACCGCAATGGATATATTTTAGAAAAAATTTTTTAAGTAAAACAAGTAAGGGGAAGAAAAAATGCATAAAAATATTCTAAGGATAAATCTATGAGTAAGGGGGATTATAGGGACCAGCAGATGGCATACCAGTTACATCACTGGGCTCCCATCGCAGTTCAAGTCCTGGACCCGGCAGTTTAAAACTCATGCCAGGCACAAGTATGCATGCTGAAAATCCTGTGAGGAGAATGGAGAAGGAATTGTGGTGTGGCCATAGTCCCCAAGGGGTGATTTCTTGCTTTCTGCCTCTCTGCCTCTCTGCCTCTCCAGCTAGCACATGCCCCCCTATAGAGAATAAATTAAAAAAAAAAAAAAGAAGAATAAGAAAAAAAGAGGAAGAGTTATAATGATTACTCTTAGGGAAGGGAAGCAATAGAACAGACATTACAGAGTTGGAAGCCAGGTGTTTCTGAATATACCTGGCCTTGAAGGTTTACTTTGGAACCTTCATAAATATTTTCAATAATTAAAAACTAAAGTTATCAATTAAAAACCAGTTCTGAAAAATTAAAAGAATAATGATACAAATAACCCTGTATACTGATTTGGAGGCACAGTCTACAAGAGCTATTTAAGTGACTTTAAGACACAGTGATTTAACACATGGTCCAATAAAATACACTTTAAGGTATTAAAGAGAAAAAATTTATTGCTACTGTAATTCTAAAATTTTTGTGTAGATTGAGGTGGAAGACAAATGAGTAATTATGTTGGTGTTATTAATTTCTTTTTGGCTTTTGAGTTTTTTTTCATTTTAAATGTATTTATTTTGCATTCATTGACTGTATATCATTGCAGCATACAAATGAATTTCCGCATCCAGAATACACTGTATATTAACTCAATCAAAGATATTACCATACACGTTCTCTTCAACAAATAATTTTCCATTTCTTGTTTCTTATATATTTTATTCCTTTTTTTCCCCCTTTGATTTCCTCTCTCTCATGCACTGCTATTTCCCACCCTCTTTCCACACTGTCTCTGGTATCTACAGTCACTTTCTATGTTTTTACTTTTCCACATTTTATTGATTCACAAAAGATCTTAATTAAGCCAAATATTTTCAATAGTAAGTGCAGTTGATATAAACATATGTATGAATGAATATCTGATTTTATGCATAAACCTTAGTAGCAGAATGAACATACTATAAAGTAGCACCTAGCTGAGGTTATATAGCTTACAGGGGTCATTAAGTAGGTATGTTTTTAAATTTTTTGTTTGTTTGCTTTTTATGTTTTTTTAATTTTTTATCTTCAAGAAAAGCAGTTTTAGTTTTAATAAATCAAAATTTAAAAATGTTGAGAAAAATTTGCTTAAGACTTAAAACCAGGAAAAAGGATAGGATTCTGTTAAAACAGTAGGTAAGTACCAAAGACTCAGAAAGCAGATATGGACAAAGCTAAAATCTAGTAACAAGTGCACTCTAATTTATTGCCTTGTGAAAGAAAGAAATTACCAATGTCAGAATAATCAAGGTAAATGAAAAGTTAGAAATTTTGTTATGGATTCATGACATTTTCCCAATTCACTTCCAGAAATCTACACAAATTTACTGATTGCATCTGAGAATAGGATTTTAAAAACTGACCCTCTGTGATACTGTAAATTTCCAAGAAAAGCTCAGGTATTAAAAGTGTGATATTTTTGGACCAATAGATGGTGTGGTGGTTAAGGTGATGAATTCAGGGCTAACTCCACAATCTGAGTCCGGATTCTGCTGCTTGAAAAACACTCAGGGCACATCTGTGTGTGTGTGTGTGTGTGTGTGTGTGTGTGTGTGTGTGTCTGTGTGAGTGCCCCAAATCCTGAGAGAATGGAGAAAGGATTGTGGCAAGGCCATCCCTCTAGGGGAAGATTTCTTGCTTTCCCTCTCTCTCTTTCTGTCCTGCCAATGCACACACCCCCTGGCAAAAATCTAAAAAAATTAAGGAGCTACGGACTTTAGAAACTTACTTAAAACTTTCTGGATGTTCAATGAAAGCATTATGGTTGGACTGAAATATTTTCTCAGAAAGGAGGGATAGTGGCCAGATAGTGGTGCCGTGGTAACAGTGTTCTGAAATGTTAACCCCACATGGGAAGGTTGCAATCCACATCCTAACTCCTTTTTGCTCATCAGGAATTTGCATATCTCTTTGATCCAGGCTGGCTGGGGCTGCAGTGGCTTGTGTTGTGAGAACTCTGGTGAGAGTGCCTCTCTCTCTTTATCTCTTTCTGTCTCTTTCTCTGATGAGAGGAATAAATTCATTTCTTTTTAAAAAAGTGAGAGAGCCAACAGGTGGTATGGTGTACCCCACATTGCCACCTCCTCAGTTGGAGTTCTGGATTCGTTGACTTGAAAAACACATGCCAGACACGTGTGTGAGTGCCCAAAGTCCTAATGGAGGAGAAAGGATATCAGCATCGCTATTTCCCTGGGGAGTGATTTCTCATTTTCCCTCTTCCTTCGTCTCTGTCAGGTGAGAGTATACACCTAGTACCAAAAATCTTAAAGATAAATAAATAAAAAGAGATCTACAGAAATTGCTAAAATAAATTTGTCTTATGATCTAAAACAGAAATAGATAATGTGGTAAATAAGAAAAAGTGGCATATAATTCACTATTTAAATAGAGACACATTCACAATTAATGAAGTACCATTAATAAATGTATCCCTGTTAGAAATGACATTAATGTTCTTGAATTGCAATGTAATAATGTATTACATGGTACTTTATGGATAAGTTATAGCTTTAAAATGAGTCATACAAATTAGAAGTTGATTTAAGCATATCAATTCATTATAATTTTTGAAAATGCTCTTAACGTGTATACAATCTAATGGTTAATTAGATGGCTAATTTTTAGTTTAATGTATAGTGTCGTAAGGCAATATGACCAGTGAACTACATTTTACCTCATAATTCTTTTTGAGAAATTTTTTGCTATAAGGTGTGTGTGCTCACTGGAGAGAGAGAGAAAGAGAGACAGAAAGTGAGAATGGCCCCAGGGAAGATGGCCATGCTGCAATCCCTTCTCTTCCATCATCCTCTCAAGATTTTGGGTATGCATGCACACGCACCTGGCATGTTTCAAGTGCCGGATCCTGTACTAGAACCATGGTTGATCATGTGGGAGTCCATCCCTTAACCACTACATCACGTGCTGCTCCCTGCTTCATAATTATTTAGCATTCAAGATCTGCAATATAATCTTTGCAAAATTTACAAGAAATTAAATTATGGCAACAGGAAAATAATAGAATGACTACCGAGTAAAATATTGGTATTATGATTTTTTGCTTTTTTTTTTTTTTGTTAAGTTTTTACTGTAGGGTGCATGT